AAAAAAAAAAAAGAACCTCAATGACAGTTAGGTAATTCCTACCTCAGAAACAAAGTCCTCCCTCTTTATTTTACTCAGGCAATAAAGCAACTCAGTCAAGGAAGGCTCAGTGCTTCCTATCCTTTTGCACAAGATGTGCTTGCATGGAAACCTGTCTTCAACCAGTCTAGTCTCACTGAGTTTGTGTTCCATGTGTTCACCACAGTCCCTGAATTTCAGGTTCTTCTCTTCCTTCTCTTCTTCCTTCTCTACTTGATGATCCTCTGTGGCAACACAGTCATCATCTGGGTTGTGTGCCTACACAGCGTTCTCCGAACCCGGATGTATTTCTTCTTGTCCAACCTGCCCTTTGTAGAGATCTGCTACACCACCATTGTGGTGCCCTTGATGCTTTCCAACATTTTTGGGGCCCAGAAGCCCATCCCACTGGCTGGATGTGGGGCCCAAATGTTCTTCTTTCTCACACTTGGTGGTGCTGACTGTTTCCTCTTGGCGATCATGGCCTATGACCGCTATGTGGCCATCTGCCACCAACATGACCTGCAGGCTGTGTGTGCAGAAGCTGCTCGGCACCGTGGGTCTGGCCTTCTTCCTCTCCCTGCGGTTCACCGCCTTAATCTTCACCCTGCCCTTCTGCGGCCACCGCCGGGAAATTAACCACTTCCTCTGCAATGTACCTCCCATCCTGTGCCTGTCCTGCACCGACATCCGCGTGCACCAGGCTGTCCTCTACGTCGTGAGCATCCTCGTGCTAACCGTCCCCTTCTTGTGCATCTGCGTCTCCTACGTGTTCATCACCTGCACCATCCCGCACATCCGTTCTGCCGAGGGCCGCCGCCGGGCCTTCTCCACCTGCTCCTCCCACCTTACCGTGGTCCTGCTGCAGTATGACTGCTGTGCCTTGGTATACTTGCGTCCCCAGTCCAGCTCCTCTGTAGATTAAGACCGCCAGTTTGCCCTTGTTTACACCTTTATCACACCATTACTCAACCCTTTGGTTTACACCCTTAGGAACAAGGATGTCAAAGGTGCCCTGAAAAAAGTGATTAGTACCAAAGGGACATCTGAGTCCTTCTGAAGGCTCTGAGAGACTGAAAGGGGCACCTGGGCATGGGACAACGGTAAAACTCTTCCATCCAAATGCTAGATTTGCCTTCATTGTATCAGAATTTGGACTTTGATTAATTCTCTGTGCCTAATGCACTTAGTTGCTACAGATCATTCTCATTTTTAAAAAAGGTCTCCCAAAACCTTAAAACTCCAAAAAGTGTAGATGCTATCGTTCACTTAACTCCAAATTTATAATTTTACCTTTCCTCTAAAGCAATATAAAAGGAAAAATTTATTTTAAGAAATTGGCTCATGTGACTGTGGGGGTGAAAGCAAAGAGGGGTCAGGTGTGGTGGCTCACACCTGTAATCCTAGCACTTTGGGAGGCCAAGGTGGGTGGATCGCTTGAGCCCAGGAGTTTGAGACCAGCCTGGGCAACATGGTGAAACCCCATTTCTCCAAAAATATATATAAAAAGTAACCGAGCATGGTGGCACATGCCTGTATTCCCAGCTACTTGGGAGGCTAAGGTGGGAGAATCACTCGAGCCTAGGAGGTCGAAGCTGCAGTGAGCCGGGATCACACCACTGCACTCCAGCCTGGGCAACAGAGTGAGACCCTCTCTAAAGTAAATAAACAAAAGCAAAGAGGAGTTGTAGGAGTGGGTCCTATTGTCCTATAAGGCAATTACCTCAGGGGATGCCATTAGTGAAAAAGTAGAGTTAATCTCAGTCAAGGGTGAAGTGGCTGCTTTACTGGCAAAAGACTGACCAGAATTCAGGGGTTCTATACTCCCACCTTCATCAGAATCGTCTCATATGTCCCCATTTCAATTTTCTAGAGCCCATTTCTTCTCAATTCATGCCCTTGCTTTAACAGTACACATCCTGCAAGGATGGGAATTCAATATGCATTGTAAATCACCAATTCACAGCATGAGATTCTGCATTTGGTTATCAGAAACCTCAGTTCTACCACTACAAGAGATATAGGTCACTTTGAGGACAGACATACAAGATTTTACACCATTTATGCAGTGCTTGAGCTTAGAATTTGAACTTCTGAACTCATCCTTTCTTTTCCACTTGGTCTAGTGAAATTATGTAATAGAAGCAGCTAGTCCATTTCATTATACTCACTAGTTTGATGAAAGTATGTGAAAGTATTATATGCACATTCACCCAGAACTTTGCCTCTTACAAATATTTGATTGGATGTATCCAATCGTGATGTTTTGCATATCCCTATTGCCACATCACACCATGGACCTTTAGCATTATGGAGGGTAATTTGCTTACCCAAATCTACTGATTTAAATATTAATCTCATCTAAAAGATAATCTCACAGGAGTGTCTAGACTAGCAAAGATAACGCATATAACTAACCATCACAGCCCAGAAGATGACAAAGAATCTGATGTAAGTTAAATCTCAATGGTATGTTTCTTCTATACCAAACTCTAAGGAAAGGCTTGTAACAATAGTTAACTATAGAAATAGAAACTCATCAGCTGGGTGCGGTGACTCATGCTTGTAATCCCAGCATTTTGGGAGGTCATGGTAGGATCATGTGAGGTCAGGAGTTCAAGACCAGCCTGGCCAACATGGTGAAACCCATTCTCTATTAAATATACAAAAATTAGCCAGGGCAGTGGTGTGCACCTGTAGTCCCAGCTACTCGGGAGGCTGAGTCAGGAGAATTGCTTGAACCCAGGAGGCACAGGTTGCACTGAGCTGAGATTGTGCCATTGTACTCCAGCCTAGGCAACAGAGCAAGACTACATCTCAAAAAAAAAAAAAAAAGGAAATAGAAACTCGTCATGTGAAATATTGCTTTGAAACATAAAGCCATCAACTGAGTCTTAAATACAATATATATTTAGTTTCAAGAAATTCTCATTGTGTGTTTTAATTTGTATTGATAAATAGTTGCATATATTTATGGGATACATCGTGGTCTTTTGAGATATGTATACAGTAGTTCCCCCTTATCTAAAGGGGATACATTTCAAGACCCCCAGTGAATGCACAAAACCATGGATAGAAAGAACCCTATATATGCTGTTTCTTTCATACATATATACCTATGATAAAGTTTAATTTTAAATTAGGCACAATAAAAGGTTAACAACAATAACAGCAAAACGGAACAATTACAACAATATGCTAGCATTGCAACTCTTGCTCTTTGGAGGCCATTATTAAGTAAAATAAGGGTTACTTGAACACAAGCACTGGGATACAGCAACAGTTGATCTTATACATGAGACAACAAGTGACTAACAAGAAGGTAGCACGTACCATGTGGATATGCTGGACAAAGGGATGATTGACATCCTGGATTGGGGAATTTCATCATGCTACTCAGAACAACACACAATTTAAAACTTTTGAGTTATTTCTGGAATTTTCTATTTAATATTTTCAGACCTCAGTTGCCTATGGGTAACCACAACCTCAGATAGCATAACATGAAAAAGGGAAGACTATTGTATACAGTAGAAAGATTAAATCAAGCAATTAACATATCCATCATCTCACCAACTTATTATTTTTTTGTGGTGAGGATGTTTAAAATCTATTCGTTTAGCAATTTTGAAATACATGGTACATTATTATTAACTGTGGTCACCATATAGTACAATAGATCAGTATAACTTATTCTTCAAGTCTAACTGAAACTTTATACCCTTTGATCAAAATCTCCCTTTTCTCCATCCCTCCCCAGCTTCCGGACTCTGGTAACTGCCTTTTTTAGATTGATTCCATATCTTGGCTATTGTGGACAGTGCTGCAATGAACATGGATGTGCAGACATCTCTTCAACATGCTGATTTCATTTCCTTTGTATATATACTAAGAAATGGGATCGTTCTCATTAGTTTTAATCTTTAGAAAAATGTTAAACCCTTAGTCTAATAAGTTATTGAAAGCAGTGTGACATTGTTTAAATGAATAGATACTTGTCCTCTTAAGTATCTTCTAATTCTCCACTCATTTTCTTTAAGGTCTTAAAGAGTCACTAAGTTTTATTGCTGGATAGTAAGATGGAAGTATTTGATAGAATCAGAAGAACAGAGTTGGTTCTAGTTTTGCTAGACTTTTTGGGCACTTCACACAAATCAAGTAATTTCTCTGGATCTCAGTTTCTTCATAAAGATATCTGACAATAGGATTTTCAAAATCCTCATAATCAAATGTGCATAATCAAATTTAGTAGTGTGCTGTTTCAGACATGCTGACTTTCTTCCAGCTTCAAGTCCTTTACAAGTTCTGTTCCCTTTCCCCTTTGTTTGAACTGCTTTTCTCCACAATGTGGTAGCTGTTTTTTTCCTGCTTTACAGATTTCGTCACAAATGTCACCTCTTCAGAGAAGATGCTTTTGATGACGTCTTCTTCCAATCATTCTCTATCCTATTATCTTGTGGTATTTTCTCCATGGAGTTTATCACTGTCTGATAATATCTCATTTACTTATTTAACCTGTTGGTTATCTGTTTCACTAGATATAATGTAAGCTTCATGAAAGTGGGAATCTTGTCTGTTTTATTCATCTTTGTATCCCCAAAACTTAGAACAGTGATGGACACATCATATTACACATAAATGTGTTTAATCATCAATCAATCAATGATGGACCAAACTCTAAATGGGTGAACCTTAAGACTGTGTAATCATCACCTAGGGTCATATTCACATCTCAAAGAGTACATAACAAACATATGTTCCATTGTAAATGTCTAATATACCAAGGAAAGTAAGAAAAAGAGAATTATAATAAGAACAAAGATTTTTTTTTAATTAGCAGACTTTAATATGGCAAGATAATATCTGGGCAGGTACATGCTCAAAGTCTATGAAATTTTTATGGTATGTTGAGTGAATATGTATACTTTCTTCAAATTCTGGAAAACCATAATAAGGGAGTTATTTTTAAAGTAACAGAGGAAAAAGTAACAAAAGAAAATTAAATGTTTTCCATTGTTTCTTTATCCAAGTGAAGATATCAGAATCTCCTTTTCTGCACATAAAATGTAAATATTGTCTCAGTTTTCCAGGGCAATAAGAATTTGGGACTTGGGCTGAACCTTGCTATGACAGATATAATGGGAATACACTTGAAACAGCAGACTTAGAGGACCATGTTTAGGGAACTTTGTATTTGTTGGAAAATTATTTTCAGAACCAAGAATATTCCTAAAGGGTAATACTGGTCTTTACTTTGACATGTATACTCCAATATTCCATTGACTGGAGATGCTGCACACTTTTAAACAACCAGATCTCATGAGAACTCACTCACTTGCACAAGAACAACACCAAGGAGATGTTGCTAAACAGTTCATGAGAAATCTACCCTCCATCATCAAACCACCTCCCACCAGGCCCCATTTCCAACATTGGGAATTACAAGTTGACATGAGATTTGATGAGACACAGATCCAAACCATATCGCTGACTACAGTAAAATTCTCAAAGTTAATCATTGTGACACAGATTGCAAAGACCTCCATCATAACATAGATACAATAGCCTTTAAATGTCTTTTGTTGTAGCCTTCTATAAACTATGTCCTTGAAGAATAATTTTTTTTCACAGTGCTGCCCAACTGTTGGATGCAAAGTTGTTTTCCTTAGAGGCCCCTAAACAAGTAATTTGATTAAGAAATAATCTTTTTCCCCTTTTTTATTTGTACAAATACAACAGGTACAAGTGCAGTTTTGTTACTTGGATAGGTTGTGTAGTGGTGAAGTCTGAGCAGTCAGTGTAACCATCATCCAAATAATATTTTATCTATTATGTGGTTTCACATCCCTCACCCCCTTTCCAGCCTCCCATCATTCCAAGTCTCCAGTGTCTGCTATTGAACATTGTATGTCCACTGTACACATTATTTATCTCCCACTTATAAGTGAGAACATGTGGTATTTGTCTTTCTGGGTCTAATTTGTTTCACTTAAGTTAACAGCCTCCAGTTCCATGTATGTTCTGCAAAAGACATGACCTCATCCTTTCTTAAGCCTGAAT